GGAAAGGAAAGGAAAGGAAAGGAAAGGAAAGGAAAGGAAAGGAAAGGAAAGGAAAGGAAAGGAAAGGAAAGGAAAGGAAAGGAACACAGAGAGGAAGGGAATAGAAAGGTATTATGGCTGAGTTTATGGCTGCAGTCTTAAAAGTCAAATGGTAAGGTTCAACTTTCCTTCACCTTCTCTTCCAGTGCTGGCGTGGGTAGGACTGGGACGTTCATTGCATTGGACCGGATCCTTCAGCAGCTAGACTCCAAAGACTCTGTGGACATCTATGGCGCAGTAAATGACCTAAGACTTCACAGAGTTCACATGGTCCAGACGGAGGTAAGAGTTACAGGCTGAAGGGCACAAACCTTTCCCTGCCAAAAATGCCTAGACTGAGCAAGAACTATGACATGTTGAGAAGAAAAAGACAATTGAATACAAATGTTTTATGTTATTGTTACATGCCATTAATTCAACTATGACTCATAGAAACCCTATAAACAATAGATCATAAACAACAGATTTGAATTTTACCCTGTCCTGCCCATTCTCACTATAGCTGATATGCTCAAGTCCTGTGCCAGTTTATATTGTTAAGAGTCTGCTTTCTTATCCCAGTGACCATTGTTGTTGCTGTTGTTATGTGCTGTCCAGGGAACTTGAACTCACAGCAACCTTATGAACAATGGCTCTGAACCTTGCCTTGTACTGAGCTAACCTCACCATCTCTGACACACCAGACCCCATTGCTACAGTTACTATGTCAACCAATCTCATCCAAGGTCTTCCTCTCCTATGCTGACACTCCACCCTTCCAAGCATGATGTCCTTCTCCAAGGTCCGGTCCCTCCTGGCAACATGCTCAAAGTATGCGAGATAGAGCTTCAAAATCCTTGCCTCCAATGAGGAAATTGGTTTCACTCTCTCAGGATAGACCTGTTTGTTCTCTTGGAAGTCCATTATATGTTCAACTTTTCTCCGGTACCACAACAGAAAGGCACTGATTATTCTATCATCCTTATTTGTTGTCTAGCTCTCAAATGAATAGCAAACCATTGATAAGACCATGGCTGATCAGGCACACCTTAGTTTCTAGACTGACATCATTACTCTTTACCACTTTGGAGAGGTAGATTTTTCTCAGTGCAACTTGTATTTTTATTTCCTAACTGCTGGTGCCAAAAGAATTGATTGTGGATCCAAGAAAGATGAATTGTTAACAACCTCAATCTTTTCTCCATCAGTACTGCCTATTGACCCATTGACCCAACAGTGATTCTTGTTGTTGTTGTTGCTGTTGTTAGGTGCTCTCAAGTCATGTATGACCCATGGTGACCCTATGGACAACAAATCTGAACCCTGTCATATCCTGTGCCATTCTCACAATCTCTGGCACACCCAAGCCCATTACTACAGCCATTGTATCAATTCCCCTGGTTGAGGATCTCCCTCTCCTTCACTGTTCTCTGCTTTTCCAAGCACAGTGTCCCTCTCCAAGGAATAATCTCTCCTGCTAACATACCCAAAGTATGTGAGATAAAGCTCTATCATCTTGTCCTCCAAATAGCACTCTGGCTGCACCTTCTCCGAGACATATCTGTTTGTTCTTTTGGAAGTTCATGGGATATTCAGTATGCTTCTCCAATACCACACATGTGGCACTGACCATTAGCATGATGTTTATATGCTTGTCAATGCTAAACTGGTTGCCAATCTTTGTAGGTGGTTAGAAAATGACATGGACTCTGTCTCTCCCCATCACATTTTAAAAATGTGAGATGTAGAGAGATGTGTGTATGTATAGCACTGGTATGTGCACTGTAGTATAGAGGTAACTCGTGGTTGCTGTGATGCTGAACACTGTGACACTGATGTGCCAAATGTGGTAATGGTTACCCATGGTGGACAGTGTTTGGTGGAGCTTCCTGATTAAAACAAGCTTGGAAGCGGGAGTGGCATCCACTTCCAAAATGGCTTGCCTCCGGAAACTCTATGAACAGTGCTCAGGTCTTTCATTCATAGGGTCGCTATGAGTTGTCTACTACTCGACGGTACTTAACAACAACAACAACAAAGTACAGTGACACTGACTGTGATGTAATACAACTGTCATACAATCATAATCACTATCTGTTTCTGAATTTTTACTTTTTTCCCTCATTGTTACATTATGTCTTACATTACAATTATATTACATTAAAATACATATATTGGAGGGAATAGCAAAGGCAGTCCGTCTTGAAGATCATTTAAGAAATTCTGGTGATTCAGCACAAGAAATTTAATTAGTAAGAAGGAAGTAGATTCCAAATCTTTTCCCTTACGTTGCCTCTGAAACACCACAAGAGTGATTGTCAAAACTAAAAACTTCCATTTCTACAACTCTTTGACATTTTCAAGTATTTTAAAACATTCTGTTTCATTAAATTTCCAATATAACCAGATTTAAAAAAAAAAAAACCAACCCAATCCCACTGCTGTTGAGGATAGTAGTATTTCCAATTTTACAGGTTGTTGTTGTTGTTGTTAAGTGCCGTTGAGTTGTAGGCTACTCATAGTGACCCTATGAACAAAAGTCCTCGACCCTTGCATGATTTTCATCCTTTCTCCAGACTCATAGGGTTTCTGGAGGCAAGCTGTTACGGAAGTGGATGCCACTCAGCAGGAGAACACCAAAATTCAGTGGGTGGAGTTTCTTATACAAGGTACAGGGCTATCAGTGGTCAAATTAGGACCTGAACCCTGATCTAGAGAATCTGAAGCCCTCATCACCAGCTGTTGACCCACAGCTTTAGAATTAGAACTCTGTGTCATACTATATTGTAAACAGAGCCAAGCATTTCACACATATACCTAGCCACCTTCCAATACTCGAGGGATTACTTCCCCAAGTAACTTTTCAAAATCCTCTGTTTTTTTAAAAAAAGAGAGAGAAAATGTTCATGGTTAAAAACAAGTTTCAATGTTCCACATTCTGCTATATCTTCCTTAAAGGAGACAGTAGTGGTTTATTGGTAGAATTCGTATCTTCCACGTGGGAGGCTTGGGTTGGAGTCTCAGACAATCCAGCTCTTGTACAACCACCACCTGTCTGTCAGTGGAGGCTTATATGCTCTTATGATACTGAACAGGTTCCAGTGTAACTTCTAGACTAGAACAAACTAAGAAGAAAGACCCAGTGGTCTCCTTCTGAAAATCAGCCAGTAGAAACCCCTGTAGAACACCATAGTTTAAGTCCACAGCTAACCATGGGGATGGCTCATGATCAGGAAAGGTTTTCCCATTGTTCATGGAGTAGTTATGAGGCAGGGACAACCTAATGGCAGCTGACAATCACAGAAATCTCACTTTATATGAAAGTGCATAGGCAAAGGGTCCGTCCTACAGCAAAGGTTCGCCTTTCCAGCACCACTGGCTGCTTCTGTGGTGCAGCACATACTGCATCTCATAGAGCTCATATTCTGTAACACATGTTAGAAAGCATTGTTCTCATTGCCTCCTCTAGGCCGGGCACACATCTAGCATCTTCGGCCTTTACCATTTTCTTGGGCTCAAAGTGCTTTCGTTGTACAAATCATTGTAACACACTTTTAAAAAAGATTCCATTATAGATTTTTTTTTAGTGCACAACATTATTAGAATTACATATGATGACCGAAATCCAGCAGCAGTTTTTAAACTTAAATGAAAATAAAAGACTCACTTCCCCAGACATGCTAGCGACATTTCAAGTGCCCAGTTGTCACATGTGTCTAGTGGCTACCATTTTGGGTAGTGCAGATTCATGGTCAAGAAAAGTAAAATAGAACCTCAGTAGCTGTCAAGTTAATTTGAACTCATGAGGACCCCATGTGTATCAGTATAGAGATGTTCTCCAAAGGATCTTCTCCAAAGAACTGATTTTTCAGAAGTAGCCCTCCAGGCCTTTCCAGGGGAGTAACTTCGTGGACCTGGACCTCCATTCAGCCTTTTAGGTAGCGGGCCCATGAATTAACCATTTGCACCACTCACAGACTCCCAACTTTCAGGTTTTCATTCGTTCTCATAACCAACTCATAGATAACCCCCCAGTGGGTATCTGAGGCAGTAAATCACATAGAAGGAGACTGCAAGTCACTCTCCTCCCTTGAAGCCGCTGGTGGATTTCAAACCACCTGCAAGATCACACCACCAGCAACCTCCTAAGAAGGTGGTCAGTCTCCTCATGTGAACTTCTGAGTAAAAGTTAAAAAACAAACAAACAAACAAAAAAACCCCACCACCAAACAACTCATGACAAAACTAAAGATAATAGGGTCATCTGAATGCGTATACTAAATTCAAGTCCTTATAATGATCAGAATTCTATGATTTATTATAGGTAATATAACATACTTAATATAAAATGTTTCCTTATGCCCTGCCTCTAACAGTTTCTTTAAATCAATTCCTAATTTCATGCATAAATATTTCTGTATATATCTATCTCTTACAAGTGAGGACTATTGAAAAAAGATGAACATAATACCATTGTCACACCTAATAATTTTAACCATAATTCCTCAGTAGCATCTAAAAACATCCATTCCATTTTAATGTACTGTAAAATATTGCAAGCTGTAAATTACTTTTTACAGTTGACTTGAATTAGAATCCAAGTAGTCTACACATTTCATTTGGTTAATTTGTCATTTAGGTTTATTTTAATCTATAATAATGGTCCCTTCAACTTCCTTTCCATACACTTATTTGTACAGTAACTAGCTCATTGGTTCTGTGAATTTTCTCACATTCTGAATATGGCTTATTACTTTTTATTAGTGGCAAGGTACTCTTCTCCTTCCAATTGTTGTCAGCTGGCATTGAGTCACCAGACTCAAGACACCCCACCCACAGGGGAACACATGCTACCAGGTAATCCCCCACTGCATAATTTGTGGTAGATTAAACCATTGTGATCTAGAAAGTTTTCACTGGCCAATATCCAGAAATAGAAAATCCATCTTAGCCTGGGAGTTACCTGTTCAACATCATAACAGCACAAAAGCACCCAATGCTAGATGTGTGATGATTGCACATGAGGTCTATTAGCCAAGAATTAAAACTGAGTCTCCTGCATGGAAGGAAAGAGTTTTACTCCTGAACCTCGAACACTCCCCTCAGTCTTCTTGACTTTTGGTCAGATATAGAGGCTTGATTACCTTTACGTTCCATTTATTGAAGACATGGGCACTGCCTGTTCCATCATAGTAGTAGTCACATATGGTGCGACATGGAGTTGCATATACCATGACTTTGGCATTTAACAGTTACATCAGGTGATTTCAGGGGCGTTCTGGTGGTGTAATGTATAGAGAATT